AGCAAGCAAAGCTGTTGTCCCATCTGTCGTTGCTGCATCTTTGTCAGCTCCAGCCTCCAGCAGCAATCGGGCAATTTCCAAGTGGCCTTTCTGGGCTGCAATATACAAAGCCGTTGCCCCATCTGTCTTTACATCTTTGTCAGCTCCAGCCTCCAGCAACAATCGCACAACTTCCAAGTGGCCATTCTGGGCTGCAATATACAAAGCGGTAGCCTCATTTGTCATTGCTTTAGCTTTGTCAGCTCCAGCCTCCAGCAACAATCGGACAACTTCCAAGTGGCCGTTCTGGGCGGCAATAAACAAAGGCGTTGCCCCGTTTGTCATTGCTGCATCTTTGTCAGCTCCAGCCTCAAGCAACAATCGGACAACCGCCAAGTGGCCTCTGTCAGCCGCGATATGAATGGGCATCATATTGAAAGCACCACCTCTCCAGTTGGGATCGTACGGTTTCTGAAGCAAGCTTTCAACTTCCCCCGACAGCCTTGAACTAGCTCATCCCACTTAGTCTCGTCTGGAGCACAAAAGTCCAGGATTACCAGCTGCACACTTGAAACTGGTGTTAGCGGCATGCCGTCATGCAATTCGCCCATCGAATCACTCAAGAGCCTTTGTCGAAATCTTGAGTGTCCGAGCTTAGCTGAAAGGAGCTGCTTTAGGTGCAGAAAGGACTTTCCATGTTCAACCATGTCAAGCAACTCATCCTCATCCACCTGAGCAACTGTTCTGCCAGACACGGCCCTAATCTCCATCATTGAGGCGCAATGAAAAGGGTACAAGCATACGAACCATGGCTGAAAGATATGTTGCGCAAAAGAGTAGGCTTGTACTGTGGAATAGCTGTTTGTATGAAATTTGGTGAGTGCAAAACCATGATCCATCACTATGTCCAGCCGTTAAATCATCCATCCCTCATGGTAATGAGCAAACAGTCACAATGAAGATGTTTCGTCGTTGTCAACAAACCGCGCGAACTGGTGGTTTTTCCAACAGAGCTGGGTGACCCGAACCTTCGACTCTCCGAAGCTCCAAGCTCCGACCAGGTAGCGAGCGAAAGGGTCCTAAGGACGGTCATAGGTCGCTCCTGTTGGTTTCTTGGCTTCCAAGAACCATTCATAGGCTGACTCCCGAATCAACTAAGGATTTTACACTACAAAAACCAGGTCGTTCCCATGTTTTTAATGGTCGAACGGAAGTCTAGGGGTTGGTTTCTTCAAGTCCCATGTCTGTTGCTTCGTCCAGTTCTGCGGACGGGAGCGTCGGTCGGTTTCTGGTTCCGAAGCTTGGTCAACCGTCAGACGGGCGAACTTGTTGGTCAAGCGCCTGTGTTTTGCCAGGAAAAGTCTCGTGGACATGGATTGCGCCAGGTGATGTGTATTGATGAAACATCACGTATCTGGAAACACATCTGATCTACATTCATCCAGCCTTCCTGTGTATCTTGGCGTCCATGTGATGTTCACTCCTCAGACCATTTCAGATGCAGTTTCGCTTCAAAGTTGATGGAGCTGTGGGTTCATTGTGACTTGCTCAGCCAAGCAAGCTCACGACAAGCTCTGCATAGTTGTTCCGTCTGCGATTTCATCGCCGGCCAAACCAAATCAAAACATGTCAGACAAACAAAACCAGCTGAGAGATCTCAGCTCAGTCCGAGATCCCAACTTCGGACGATCCGTGGGTCTATTTTCCACCCCATCCTGAATCATGCTTTTGCTTGCGATCGGTGTCTTCAATGTCCTGCCTGGAACCCCAAACAACCAGAAACAAATGGTTGCTCCAATATGGCCATCGAAATCCTTTACAATAGGAAATGACTGCTTGGGAAAACATCATGAAACATCAATTTCTTTCTGGTTGTTTAGGGTTCCAGGTGGAACTCCCAAAGCTTGTTCAACCTTCTGTGCGAGAATGTTGGAAAACGAAAACGAACTGAAACCTCCCTCAACCAACAGAGGGCGATCTTGATACGATTTCCAACAGAGGTTGAAGGACCCTATAGGCTATCCCATAGGTACCCCAGGTTACGGGTCCTATAAGGTCACTTAACCTCTGTTGGTTCGCTTGACAAGCCGGAGTGGGTGACGATCATTCGAGACCTGTGGCCGTTACACCGGTCTAACTTCACCGGTGTCGTCGATACCGGTGCACGCTCCTTCTGTCTTTCGTATCTACCCTCCGTGGAAATCCAGCACACCGTCGACACCGGGGTGAGGAGTGTGGGATTTTCTGAGCTTCAGCGGCTCAGCGGCTCAGCGGCAGCAGTGCAGTCCTCCGTTCAGTCGTCCTTTCACTCGCTCGCTCGCTCGCTCGCTGCGGTCGGTCCAGTCCACGGCGAGTCCCAGACGCCCACCATCCCCCACCCACCTCCACACCGTCGGCCACTGCAGCCGACAAGACCGGGTCGGTGCTCATCTCCGGCTTCGCCTGAGCGGCGGCTGAGGGAGGTGCAGATTTCGTGGCAGGCGCAGGACTTTTTGATGTGGAAGTGTAGAGTTGGTGGCAGGTGCAGGACTTTGCGGGCCTTGGAGTGCAGATTTGGTGGCAGGCGCAAGACTTTGTGGACGTGCGGCTGAGTCTCGACGGTTCACCTTGGGAGTGACAGGTCTTCTCTACCAGGACCGACACCAAGAGGAGCTTAGTGGTTAAGGGGTGTCCAGAAACCACCGGGCTTTGAAGGTGCTAATATCCAAACTGTCAGATGACCCAGGTTCCATACCACCATTCGCTTCGAATTGGACGACTTCGGTTGGCAATGTTTCTTAGCATGTCTCCAAGGAAGAGTCAAAAGGGACCTCCAAGAGCCATCGGTCGACTCCCGACACAACGATGTCGCTCGCGCCACTGGGCTTTCCGCGCCAGCACGAAGGACCGACATCACCGAGGTTTGGCAGCCCCCCCCACCCCCCTCCCCATCCCAGGAAACGCCGCCACGTGTACGCGCGGACGTCGAACGGACCGAAGGACCCAAGCCGGGTGGACCCGAACGAACGACGGGCCGAACGGACGGACTGCGGAGCGACCTCCCCGCACGGACCGAGGCGCCCTTCGAACTCGGGCGGTGCATTTCTCTGGGGCCTCGGAGTCGGTGCAACTCGGCGGATGGACCGAATCGGATCGGCACGTTCCACTCGGTTCCATCGGGCACGGTGTGTGGGAGTCCTCAGAACGGATGTCTTTTTGGATACGATCCAACCAAGGAACCAAGGAACTGTCCACTGAAAGTCCCTCAATTGAAACTGAACACAATTCTAATATGTATGAGCCAGTCTTGTTGAAGGGAAGGTACTTGACAGCTCATGCCAAGTCCTTTTTGTGTAGACCCTAGGCCCTAAGACCCAAAGAGAACGGTCAAGTCGAGATGTTCAGCTACCATCATTTGGTGACCGGTACTTGCTCTAATTACACTTTGACACACTAAGATGGAAGTGGAATTTCTAGAGGAAAGTAGTCTTCCAAGGAGCCCTTTTCATCCCTTTTGCACTTCTATGTTACTAAGTCAGAGCATTTATGCCAGTTTCGATCATGCTCATCGCCTCCATGGTGGTCCGAAAATCACCCCACGCGACGACCCATCTCCCAACCCACACCCTCCTCTGAGGGTGATTCTTCCCTCATTTTGGGTGATTCTTCCCAAAGGTGACCAGTCCAGCGGATCCCCGAAAGCACCGCCCTCGCCGGGCAGAAAAAGGCGCTTCTTCGGCGCTTCTTCCCTCAGCGAAGAAGCGAAGAACGGCCCGGTGCGTCGGAGAGGCGCCTCCAGTCGCCCCAGTCAGTCAGGGCCACCCGACGTTCACGCGGCACTGAGCACCTGATTGGGTGGGCATGTGGCACAACGAATGCTTGACCCTCCGGGGGGAAGGTGCTTCGACTGTCCTTCAGGTCACCGAAAAAGAGGCAGAAGACCCATGGTCGAAGTCAGAGGTCGATCCCCTGCCTCTCCAGAGGTCGCGATGTATTGGTACCTTTTGGTGGGAAAGAACAGGCAGTTCTAGACCATGAATCAAGTCCGAAGACCAAGCAGGGAGGGCCATCCGCTTCCACATATATATATATATATACCTGGACCCTCCAACAGGTCTCTTCTGGAGGCTTTTGTAGACTTAAAAGTCACAGGTGGTGACCTGTTGGAGGGTCCTGGTATGTATTATACATATATACACACAACACATCACAACACCACCCGTCCGTGAGGGATTCATGTCCTTCGTCGATGCTGCTGGATGGAGATCCGAAGGGTCTGTATTCAATGGTATTCAATGGAGAGATCCCGTATGGGAAGAACCATTCAAAATAGATCGATAGATCCCTTATGAGATCTCTTATCGAATAGATCTGTACTTAAAATCAACTTGAACCATCTTGAACCTATGAGATGGTCTCCCCCTATGTCAATACACTCCCACATTCCTGGTCGCTGGTGGTGCATTTCCCCTGTAGTCAACCCCAAAATTGTAGCCTGCCAATGGGTATTCACACCAAAAAAACACAAACTGTTGCTCGTGGGGTTTTGTTGCACACCCATATGGATACGGGCCTGCAGAATGTACATGTTTCACCGATTTTCTTGGCCGCAAGCACAGGGCGCAGGGTGCTAGTGTGTCCTGAACGACAAGTTGTTGTAACATCATTCCAGATTATACTACAGTAAGGAATACTATTATTCAGAACTTATCAAAAATACTAAAACAACCAGGTCCACCCCAGTTCAAATCACCAAACTGATGCGAACGCATGCGAATGCACATGCACAACTCACTGCCGTTCCGCAGTCGACTCATGTCGCACATCGCGCCGCGGTGGTGCTGCTTTGAGAAAATCCAGCCTGCTCCTTGCATCAATGAGAGGCCTTCCATGTCCAACAAAGCCTCATCTTTGCGCAAAAGAAGCTGAGACAATGTTGAGACAAGTGTTTTGTTGGTGGAAAGCCATTCACGGCAGGAAGAAGCTAGTTACTAGGCGATGTGCTGTCAAATGCAAGCCACATCCTCTCCAGAAAGGAAGGGCGGCAGGGCGAGGAAGTACGGTATGATTTACGGTATGGATGATACTGGGATGATGAAACAATGGAACTCACTGTTGAAGTGGACAACCAAACAGGATCATGGTTCCCTTTGGAAATATGAACCTCTTTCGCATGCTCTTTTAGATGCGAAAAAAAAAACAGAGCTGCACCGGCGGTCACATGACCAGCCATGAAATCGTAACTAGAAGCCACAGAGAAGAACAGCCACCAATTGGCCAGTTCGAAGTCCAAAACGGACATGAATCATGAACAAATGAACCAGCGCAGACCTCCGCGCAGCTTGGAGTTTGGAATCCATCGAGCCCTGCTCCAGGTCCGGACGTTCACCGAAAGCCCAAGCAATGTGACGAACGGGGTTCATGATCAAGCAGGGACCCTTTAGGTTGGAGGGGTCTCCCCCCAGTGCTTGAAATACACCCACCAAAGAAAGGGGAGACCCTCCAACTGTCCACTTGAAATACATCCGCTAGCTGTTTGATACGTCTCCTACTGCACGAGCAGTTTCCAAACGACTCGACTCGTCTCTTTGACTCTTGGCCAATCTTCCGGTCCCCCCATTTCCCCATGTGCATTGGGAAAGGCGTGGAGCGCGGCAGCAAAGCACAGACAAAACATCCGTTACCATGTGCATTCATCGCTTCGCCAAAACGCATCGCTTCTTCCCGGAAAAGAAGAATAATGAACACGGTTGATGCAAAGAAAAGCTGTCAAGACACGGTTCGTATTGCAAAAGTGGTTTCCTATTGGGTTTCCTTTGCTTTTGCTTGGTTCCCATGGCTTCATAGTCGTCTCTCCCAGTCCGTCGTTTGTAATCAGCGGCATCGTCGAGAGGGGCAGCTGCGGACTTCGCGGCCTGCGCGGCGTCGCAGCAGAGTCCGGGAAGACGTTTGGAACGAGAAGTGGACCCATGAACACGATCAATTGGGTACTGTATTTCTTGGGTCGATCCGGTCGTTTCCAGGGCCCAGTGGATGATGGTTCAGTTGCAGGCCTGTCTCTGAAATAGTGATGCTCTTGTTTGCCAACTGTTACAAGCAATGAGACAGATCCAAACTATACTTCAAAACTCCTAGAAGTTGTTGAAAACTGTAAAGACACATCAATCATTTGGAAAACCTTTTACTGTACCTTACGCGTAAATCGTGGAGGTGTCCAATCTTTGGCCCGGACAAAATGAATTACTGTAACATGATCTGGTTTGTTTTGCCAAAAGCACACGCTCCCCAAGAACACCTTATGAGATTCTGTATACTACATCCTTGACAATCCTTGAACCTTGTCATTGTGATGTTTCATTCTATGGGACAAACGAAAAGAAACGGCATTGAGCAGACAGGCTCAAGTGACCAGAGTTGAAGGTGCCAGGAGCATCTCAAAATTGGTCTGGCCTAGCTCCAAACAACCCGTGAGCAAATGACAGTGTGTACATGTGTGTGTACAGTTGATGAACGTCTAAAACTGATTCTTGAGATATCTTGAGACACCAAATGTCCATTTGACTGTGTTCTGATTCTTCGATTCTCCTGTCGACAGCTCTCATCCAGAGGAAAACAGCTCCACCATTGGACCATCCGAAAACACCGAGCTCGGGAGGTCACCTCCGATCCCTTGGAATCCTCGGAGCCACCGTGGCATCCGTGGCTACCACGGGAGGATAACAGGCACAGGCACGCGCGGGGCGCCAGGCTTCCGTCGGCCCATCCTTGATTGAAGTGTTTTTCATATATGCTACCAAAACACCAAGTCGTATCCATTGTTTTATGTACCCTGGGCGGTGGTTCGACCCGCCAAACCTACCATCACCATCTTCGAAAAAGAGGTAGGCGGCCAGGATGATCGGATACATGTGGAACACTTCTGGGGCCGAATTCGCCATGGACCCAGGAGCCCTGGGGATACTGGGGATACTTAAGGATTTGACACTGCAAAACCGGGTCACCCATTGGGAAGGCCATGGTTGACTTGGCCTTCGACCAGCAGACCTTTACTCCAAGCTTCTGCCACCTGAAGCCAAACATGGCCAGGGTACCAACAGGGTCCCGTTCGACCCTCCGTGGAGGGTTACTTTGGCAAATCTCAAGTCCCCGGGCATGGAAAGACCCTGCCTTGCTCTTCACGATCTTTCTCGCATGCCCTTGGATAAGAGCTAGAGCCTCCTCCTGGAAGATGGAAGATGGATAAGGTGGAAGATCTGGGAAATTAAGGGGACGGACTGCCATGAACAAGTACGATCCAGCATGAGGTTGGGTTACGTTGGGTTGTCTGAGTTCGGTTGGGCTGTGCTATAAGACCAAGCCTCAAGGCCAAGCCTCAAGACCATCTCCGTGCTACCTCAGTCTAAGGGACGGAAGTAGAAGGACTCTTTAAATCTGAACCATGGGGACGTGGCAGAAAAGTCACTTACCTTACGAATCCGGGCCCGGGAAGCACCCCACGGTCCCCGAAACGCCCCGCCGGGTTCCGACCCCAGATTTCCGGATTTCCGGAGCCCGGCGTGGTTCGCATCCAGCAGCTGACTCCGCGCCCTACAACTCATTCAGGGTTTACCGTGCAAGAGGGCCTGGGTCAGTTCCTGGCTCCAGTCTCTTAAGAGTCCCCAAAGGTCAGAGATTCAAAGGGAACACAATGGAGCGGATGAGAGCGGGGTGGCGATCGGTCCAGACTTGATTGCAGTTCACCAAAGGAAGGATCGATGAGTGAGGAGTGTCTTAACCTCAGTAAGGCCAACCTCCCTCCCACAAGATCAGTCGCCACAGGTTCCATCGAGATGGCGCTAAGTACAGTAGAGTCCAGCTTGGGGAACAGTCCAGCTTTGAGACGGAGTCACAGTCCTTCGGATCTCTCTCAGAAGAAGGTCTCATCTACTCTTTCAGTACACACCCGAAGATTAACATGGAACCTCAGAATGGACCTTTGGAAGACTATTTTCTTTTATAACCCAGGGCCCAGGGGTTGTCAACTTCTATGTTAATCTTCTGGGGTGCAAATCTACAAGCTACTTTCTTTAGTTCAATCCCAGCTTGGCTCTAGATGATCGTTCATCAGCACAAAAAAGGAACATCTACCGCAGCCGCAGCCAGTCCTCGATCGAGCTCGATCCTCCACACCCGGCCAGTCCCAGTCTCATCCCAGTCGACTCTCTCCTCGGCTCTCAATTCGGCCATCAGTAGGAAGCTGAAGAGCAACCTGAACATCATTGGTTTCGTCACCTGGGAGCAGGGCATGAGAGCTGGAGATGAGCCGCGGAGCTGCTGGATATGAGCAGCAAAGCTGGCTTCTGAGGTCTCTCCTCGACTTGGGTGTGTCTAAGACCAACTGTCTAAGACCGACTCTGACTCAGCCGTCTGAGTCTGTCTCAGTGATGAATCGGCCGTGGGTCATGGCGCAGGGGGAACAAGGGCACCTGGTTTTGGGGCTCCAGCCCTTCACCCACCGCCATTTCATCACCAAGCCAGGGATGGAGCGAAACATTGAAGACTGACAGATGGAGTATTCTAATCATTTCTTACGCCTCAGTACCTCAAATGGAGTGAAACCGGATGGATTCACACCAACCGGATGGATTCTGGCTGCCCAGACGGTCGGCAGATCCCTCCCACGTAAACAATATGGGCCGCTCGTCCTCCGGTCGGCTACGGTCAGCACTACAAACACCCGTGTTGTGCAGGATCCGAAGGCCACTGTCTGGCCCAGCAAGCAAATGCTGTTAAGGCTCCAGATAGAACGAACACCCAGATGTATGGCCAGGCTCCAGGCCTTGGATCTTCATCCATCCCAAGAGTACCAGGCTTCCCAACTGTTCCCTCGTTGGCACCGAAACGCGAGGTGTAGGTGTAGAATGGATACCACCCGGTGACCACCCTTTCAACCACCTCAACGCCGTTTTCATTCACTTGTCACACCTTCCACCACCTTGCACCACCTGCCGTTCGATCCAAAACCACGACGAACCCAGCGCCACGTCCCAAGGCACCAGGTGAGTCTCGGAGATATGAAGGCCACACGGTCGGTGCCGAAGGCCTCCGATCCCCCCGGGTGACGTGAGATGCGCTGCGGTGCGTCGACCGTCGCTTCCGGTTCGATGGCAGCACCCTCCAAGAGGTCTTTCACGTACGGGGGGGCTGGGGGGGGTCCACCTACTCCAACACCCCTTGGAGCCTGGATGGCAAAACAGCTGGAAGATTCTATGAGGTCTGTTGGTTTGTCGGATGTGGATGAAGACAGCGACCACATGCCCGAAGATGTTGACCTCACCTTGGAAGATTTATGTAATTCATTTGTGGCAAAAAAAATACATTCATCTCCCAGTTCGTCATCGACCCTGGCGCGCTCTACTTCAGAAAGGCATCTCAAGAATGAACCCGTTGAAGAGCCGAGGGAAGAAGGGGTAGGTCATATGACATATATGATTATATATGATATATGTTATATATGCATTTCGGAGAGTGGTCTGGTATCCCAACGCTTCCCTGACCTCGGGCCGGACCAGCTACAGTGCACAGGGTGATGTCAGTGATGTCTTTGTTTTCAACCGAAAAGCCGCAACCGTTCTCGCCATGTGTTGCCTCATTTCTCCGAAAAATCCCCACCTCGGTCGTTCAAAAGAAACATCCTTCCGGAAGACCGGATTTTCCGGGGGTCCCTTTCCACTCCGGGTCGCTTCGCCGCTCCGGGTCCACGACAGGTCCCGGGTCCCGGGTCCCGACGACGACGGACCGGGACGGACGTTCTCGGACCGAGAGAGACGAGAGACGAGACGGAGCGATTCAGTTCCAAAGCACCTGAGGGATGGGGATGGTGAGTCATTGTGAGTACTCCCTCATCTGCCAGCTTCTGTCGGTGACCTGTTGAAGGTTCCAAAAAATGGGACCCTACTCGGAGGCTTGTTTGTGACCGAACCAACCAGGTTATCAAAAGGTCACTTTGAAGAACCAAGTGAAGAGCTTTCCATGTTTACAATCCAAATAAGGTGCTTTGATTCATCAATGAGTCTACATGAATGTCCTTCTCCAGAGTCTTCTGGACCTTCAATTGCATCTACATGCTGCTTTGGTCTTACCGGTCCAAACCCGAGCTATAAGGCTCCAGTAAGCCTAGGCGCCGGCGGCGCGGGCGCGAAGGTGGCCGGAAGGGTTTGTCCGAGCCCACCGATGCTGCAGGGTGAGTCGGCGGCGGCCACTTCGTTTCGCTGGGAAGCGACCCGGCACGACGACGACTTCGACTTCGGCACAGAGCGCTGCGTTTTGGACCTCCACCATGGACCATCCACTCTCCCAGAATCGAAGGGAACACTGAAATCTGCAGTGAAGCCGAGAGGAACTGCTCCATGTTTTGGTGCAACTTCCTGGATCTCCAAAAGAGCAAAAGTAGCACAGACCCGGAGCGGAGGAGCTCAGGCTTATTTTCTAACCTGCCTCTGGTGCTGCCTATGTTTATTTGTTTGCACTCTTGAGCTGGAGTGTGAGACCAAACATCCTGTGTGAAACTCACTCTAGGGTGTTGGTTACTCACTCACACTCTGTTCACCACTGTTTGGGCTAGGCACTCAGATTGAAGTCTAGAGTCTGCAACATGGACAATTCTCTGAACACCTCGGAAGTTGGCAAGTGCAAATACTCTCAGGTTATCACATTTTGTCTATGAAATGGGTACAGTAACAGTACTTGCAAAAATGTGGGATATCTTAAGGGGTCCCTGACCAGAATCAGAAACTACACTCCCTGAAATCATCAATGGTGAAGTGGTTTTCACCACCACCTGTTTGGTCTGTGGATTGAAACCGGTCATCCGTCTAAGTCACGGTGCCATCCACGTGACCCATGATCGAATCATGATCCTAAAACAGGGGGTCTCGGAGTGCAGGCCATCCAAAACCACCCACCACAAGCATCCAAAAGCCCCAAAAAAACAGCATCAAACCCCCGCCGCGGTCGTACAAGCCCCCTCCCGACGCGAACTCTCGCAACGACGTCGCATACACGCAAGGGCACAGCGTGTAGAAGCCGACCGCGTTTTTTTCTCCGCTTGCTTGACGGTTCGGAGCAGTAGCGTTCTGTGGACGGTGGCCTGGACCGAGACCCAGACACGATGAGCATCGGCCACATTGCCTTTGGTTCTGCATCGAAAGCTTTGTGCTTAAGCACCCACAGGGTCTGCGGTGGAGTTGGGATATAATAAATACAAAAATGATCAAACATTGGTCGCGGTGATGAACAGGAAATTGAGAGCTCAAAAATGGCCACGGTTTCACAAATGGCGAGCCACCCCACAACTTCGGCTTGAACGTGCGTGTTGCTCTTCCACTTCTCATAGTTGTTCCAAGGCTTGTGCAATGTTACTTTGCCCAAAACGAAAAAAACACGTTTTGCAAACAAAAAGATGCCTGATCAATGGGAAGTACTTTGAAAGGAATGCTTCAGTGTCAATAGCAGCTTCTGTGTCTTGGTAAGGACAACCTCTTTAACATGTGAAAACAGAGGTAAACACGGTCAACGCCACACCCTCCACAAATGGACAGTGTCGCTTCCGGCGCTTCGTCGCGCGGAGCGCGGAGCCAATCGACCCTCCGTCAGATGTGCATCTGTCGAAGCAGCCGTGTCAATAAGCCCCCCGAAATGGATGGATGTTGAGCAAAAGGGTCTCTGGGCCTCATCATGGATGGATGATCCGCAAGCTACAGCTACAACATTTCGGGGGCGCGAGAACTGTTGGTTTCAATCCGGTGAGCAACAGGAAACTCCAATGTGTTTCTTGGGAAGGGGTCAGGTCAAACACCTGTTTGGAACACCGCCTATGTTTCGACACCAAACAACCATCGAAACAATCGCAAAAGCAACAGCGATTCACACGTGACAGAGACGGGGTCGCCTACTTGAATTTGGGTCGCAAGTCAACAGCTTGCAGCTTGTCTTCACAAGAGTAATCACTCTGACATGTCTAGTGACAACAAGACGGAAAATGAATTTGGATGGTAATTTGGATATATTTATTGACTCACCCCCAAACCAACCTGAAGATGGAGTTTTGTCGATTTTACCAGAGTTCTTGATCAAAGGTCGGCTGAACTGATCAAAAACAATCCACGTGCGGGGCCCCCTGGCCTTTCGGATTCCATCGACTCAGTTCATCATCGTCCCTGACGCTGGCTCAGAGAGATATCCGAAGCCAAGGAGAGCAGAGAGGGGGGGCAGCTGAGCGAGGGTTCTTGGTATTAAGAGAATGATCTGCATGGTGTCCTGATGCTGACCTCAGATTTCAAGTTAGTTGATTGATGTGTCTGCTGATGTGTCAGCTATGCAGCTAGGAGACATGACTTGCCCATGCACACTTCTCTCATCCGGTCTGGCTACTAGTTCTTTGACAGAAATGACCAGAGTCGACTCTTGTTGCTCCAGCCGTCCAGTCTCAGAAGGCCTGCGGCGCGGGTGAGCGGCGGCGCACCCGCCCGGCCCACTGGAGCCGAAGCAGCCGAAGCAGCGGAGGTCCGGACCTGGTACATGACAGGTGAAAGACGGTGAAAGAAGACATGGTTTAGATATGTGGAGATCCTTCAGTCAACATGTGGAATTGGAAATCATGGATCCTTTCCAAAAGCAGGATCTCATGGATCCTGGCTGAACTGTTTACAGGAGCATACCCAACCACTATCCAGTCTGTGGGGGTGGAGCTCATGTTTTTGAACCAGTCTCTATGGATAAATACTCTATGATACTATGTCTTATATATCTCTATTGATTGTATTTATTGGTTGCTGGAGTGTGAGACCAAACTTAACTTGTGAAACTCCGGCATGAGAATTCCACTCACAACCTGCTCACCATTCTTTGGGCTCGGCAGCCTCCCACTCACATTCAAGTCCAGAGTCTACAACCTGAGCAATTCTCTGAACACCTCAGAAATCCTCAGAAGTTGGCAAGCTCAAATACTCTCAGGTTATTCCTTGATTGTTCATCAAATAGGTTGCCTTAAAAGTGTGGGGTATCTTTCTTCAGGGCTCCCCCGACCTCGCCCCTTTCATTTCACCATCAACATCTCCTCGACCTCGCCGGGACCTCGCCCGACGTCGCGGCGTCGCGCTGTTTCTCCCGGTCGTCAACGGAGAAGGCCCGAGAAGGCCCGACAACAGGGACCGAGGAACAGTGGAGCGTGGAGGGTTTTCAACAGAAAGACGAATGGGTAGAACTTGTTTCTGGAAATGACGAGAAGTGTGCTCATGGGAAGACACCATGTCTTCCCTCTTTTTCTTTTTGTGCGTCTTTGCCATTTTCGCCGGATTTGGCCTTTGCCATTCACGACCAATTCCCCGCGGCGTCATGAACTCATCTCTTTTCGTTGCCTGGTCCTTCCATACTTTGCCAACGATTGTTTTGCATGGACCACTGGCTGGTGCTCCGCTCTCCACCCTGGTGCTCCTCCGATGCTCCGGGCCCTTCCGCGGTACTCAGAACTCGTCCTCGTCGAAGTCGCCCTTCAGCATGGCCGTCATGGCACTCGCGTAGCTGGAGCCCGTCTTCTGCTTCTTCGCCTCGGTCGAACCGTCCCGTCGCGTTATCGCGTGGTGAGTCAGTCGATTGAACCGGGTCCTTTCAGCGCGGCGTGTTGTCAGTGGTGCACCGGGTGGTTGGTTCTTTCTCTATGTGGGTCAAAACCTGGAGCTCCTTTCACCCCTGGTAACCAGGTTGACCTCCCAGGTACTCTAGTCTGCTGAATCTTCGTGGGAAAAAACAGGGTGCCCCGGTTTTGACCCAGTTTGATACCCAGAGCCAAGATTGCCCATGGACTGGCGGAGGTGTTTTTGCGTAGCGCCATGTAGCCCCGCGCCAGGCAAAACCTAACCTTTCAGCGACGAAGGCAGGGCACAAAAGACTTCTTTTGGCTCCACCGGCCATGGCTCCAGCCATGGCCATTGCGAAGATCTGCGCCCCAAACATGGGCAGCCAAACACCCTTCCAGGGCCCGTAACTGATATGTTTGGCGCTCAGATGTCCCAGACACGACCCTGTCTGGGTTTTGGTCGTTGCGTCATGGAGTCGTTTGGTCGTTGGTTCGCCCACCGCACCAACGATGTCCGATGCATGGAACCACAAAGGTAACCTGAACCCGACCCTACCCTAAAGCACCGCTCCTTCTTCCAGATCATTGTTGGTTATATACCTTGTTGCTGAAGCAATCCTCCAACTCAGATTGCAAACAACAAACTACCTCCCAGAGATAGTCAGCTTGGCGCCCAAGAGGTGCTTCATTCCTACCACCTGCCAGAAGGGCCACGCGGGTGGCCGACCCCTGTCCTCAGGACCGCCGCGCCCGCGGCCACTTCCACCCGGGCGGCGTCATCGTCGCCGATGTTTCCGTACAGATCCTCCTGGCCCCATCGGGCACTGGGCTGAACATGCCAGTAGTTTATCATGGCCGGCATAGCCCCAGTGGAGTGCTTGTGAGTCACAGAATCATACATAACATAATCTTGCTGAGTTGGGGTGCACGGAAGTCCTTGCGCGTCTGTCCCAGCAAGAACCGCAACAAAGGCACCAAAACAGCACCCAAGTTCAGTGGCTCTCCCCAAAGGACACAGGAAGATTGAGAAACACTGCTGCTTTATAGCTGGAAAAAACGTTCACATGTCCTCCCCATGCCTCAGACAAGCCGACTTCCACATACCCAAAAAACCTACATCATCCAACGTATCATTAATTATTGCCCCTCCACTTGTTCGTACCTTTTCTCTAACTCTCGAGCCTTTTCTATAGATCCACATGTTCTTGAACTGTCTCGAGCGCATTTCGAGAAGTCGAGCGTTTTCCTCAAACTAGCCATTGTGGCCCATAGTTTTGTTGTCTAGCCCCTGTGGTGCGCTAGCTGTGTGCCCTGAGTGTGTTGTTGTGCACGCTGAGCAAGTCCTTCGCTGCCTTGGCTCAGCCACAGGTACGGCGGGATGCATGGCTTGGCGTGGACACCCTGAACCCCAAGGATTTGAGGTACCCCTGTCAACTTTATGCATCTTCAACAATTTTCTCACATTGATGTATTTGATCTTGATTTGCTGACGCTCTTTCTGGAAAGGTACCTTAAGAACTTTGCTGGTGGTGAAAGGCTGCCGAGGTTTTCCTTGCATGTGTTGAGTTGAAACACTTTTTCAATTCAAGTGGTGCCTCATCAAAGGAAAAATAATGAACATCAAACTAGTTGGGTTCTACCTGGCAGGCTGGAGACCTTGGTTGGAACTACGTGTGATTGGAGGCACCGTGCATGCTTCCACTTGTTTCATTCTACACAGGAGGTCTTGACGAATCCCTGACAGTTCCACTATTCATACCACCTCCTTTGCTCCAAAGCATTTGGCTTGAACGTCAAGGTGCTTTGCAGTACCTTTGCGCGTTTTTGTGTGTGCCATGGTTCACCCTGTTGTTGAAGAATGGATGGCCAACAAGATTATAGCGACCAAGGGTGCAGCGGGCCATTTGGTCTCGGTGTCGGACAGAAACGGGCTGCAACGGGGTGATGTCATTGCCAACTCTCATGTGGTTGCGCCAGTGCTTTTCCACATGGGGGTGAAGCATTCAGTGGAATCTTTGACTGACCTTGTTGAAGAGTTCCTATATCAAATGCGCCCTAGGGGAAAACCGGCCTTCCCACGTTCCTTGAATGCATATAGAATCATATAGATGTTTGGTCCTAAAAATGGATGGTGCAAACTTGAACCCCCAAAGACACATATGCATGCATGTGCGGCGTCTTGAGGTGCTGTTGCCCGTGGACAGGCGTGGCTGGTCAGACGTTTGATCTCTTTGTTCACCCGCGCTGCTTCCCGTGGGCACTATCCACGTGAACCTGGCATGAGAGAACTCTTTCAATCAGCAGGCATTGAGCTACCTTCAGATCCCCGCTTCTCAGTTTCATTCAGTTTCATATGTATTTTAGGGCTATAGACTAGTAGTCGGTTTCAGGGACCAGGGGACCAGGGGCATGAAAATGAAAACCCGTTGAGGTTCCAGCAGTGCTTCTGACCTTGCAGAAGATGATGATGGTGAGGCTCTTGATTAGTTAACGTCAGCAATCAAACACTTTGCATGGATCTGGCTCACATCTCAACCACTTCTACCTGCCAAGCCGTTGGGAGGCTTCAATTGCTGGCACGGTGGCCACTGTTTTGGAGGAAGGGGATCTGGATCAGGGTGCCTCCACCGCAATTCTTACCTGCAGTTGAGTTGCCAGTCTTTGATCTCAGCTGTCCTGCCCTTGTTGATGTTGAGGTACAGCGGAGCCTGACGAGGACGCTGAAGAGGAGGAATTGGAAGAAGACCCTGTAGTGGAGGTTGAGGACATTGAGGAAAAGCCTGTGGTAGATGATAAGTTGTTACAAACACGCAGCCCTTCTCCACCTGACCTTGAGGTAGCTTCTCCACCGGTGGTAGCTTCCCCAGAGGCGGTTTCTTCATGGAAGTCGGACATTGGGCCAACCCCATCCCCCAAAGGAACCCCAGCAGCATCAAAAAAGAGTTGATATGTTTTTAATTTTTGTGAAGATGTGAAGAACTAGCTGTCTCAATTACGTGTTTTGTCGTGGTGTCACTTTAAGTTCCGTGTTTTTGCATCTCAGGACTTGTCTTTGATGAGATGCCAAGCACAGAGAAACTGCCCAAACCCTCGACTGAGAATGAAGTGGTTTCCGGTGACACCAAGGAAACATCAGATTCTTATTTAGAGGATTTGTTGCAGTCAGAGCTTGCAATGCTTCAAACTGAGCAGAGCTTGTATGAGGAACTCCTGCTACTTCAGGAAGAGGAGGAACTCTTGCAGGTTCAGCTTGATGCTGTTGTTGAAAAGGAACAACTTGAACAAGAAGCCGAACGATCCATGTTGAATTCTACGATTCCGTCTGGCAGTGCAGTTGCCCCAAGTTCCTTGTATGAAAACCTGTGCAGTGCTGCATGTTTGCTTAACTGCAGGGTATAGAAATCTTTGAAACTATGCAAGCGCAACCTGGATAAGGTGATCTGTATATGAACAAGAATATCGACCTTGTGGAGACTCTGCCCATGGATCTTCACGTGGAGGACTGGCCAACAATTTTCCTGCTTGGATAACTAGTTTAACTTCTTCAAACGCAGGAGCCTGCTGTTCACGCTGCAGCAAGCCCAGCTGAGCCTGAGGTGCCGTTCAAAGAAGTTGAGGAGACACCTGAACCTGTGGGGGAAAACATCACCATCCCCCGCCCAAAGGTTCTAGATTCGCTCACACCTGTCTCACCAACAGAGCAAACAAAGCTGACAACTACCAAGAAAGAGTTGGAAAAACAAAAGGCAGATGCAGAGAAAAAGAAAGCTGCTAAGGCTAAGGCCAAGAGCAAGGCGAAGGCCAAGGCAGTGCGACGCAAGGCACCTGAAACGGATGTGGAGGAGGATGAAATGGAGGATGATGAAATGGAGGAGGATGAATTGGAGCAGGATGAGGATGAGGAGCAAGGGGAAAAGGAGGAGGGCGAGGATGTATCTGAGGAAGAGGAGGATGAGAAACCAAAGCGGAGCAAAAGAAGGATCACTCCAGCCAAGCCTAAAGTAGATGAACCGAAAGCAAAGCGAGCAAAACAATGCAAAACTAAGCAAGACAAAGCAGAGACTATCAAGAGCAAGGGAAGGAAACTGACAAAGGTTGATGAGGAGGGCAAAGCTGCTGAGCAGTCAGGTGCAGCACCAACAAAGAAGGCTAAGGCAGCAGCAAGGGAGGTAGAGGGTGAGGCTGTTTCAGCCAAGAGGCCCAAGGAAAGGGAGGCAAAAGGTAAGACGGATGCACCTGAGGCTCCTTCAGTCAAGAGGCTGAAGAAGGAAAAGCAGAACAAGAGCAAGTCGAAGGAGGAACAGGGGGAGGAGGAACAGCGGGAGGAGATGAAAGCCACTAAGAGGCTGAAGAAGAATCAAAGCGAGAAGAAACAGAAGGAAAGCAGCAGGAGCAAAGCACCAAAAGGACATGCAAAGACACAGAACAAAGCAAAGGACAACACAGCAGGGAAAGCTAAAGCAAGCCGGAAGAGTTCAGCATACCATTGCGCATACAAGCAAGCAAAGCAGAATGGCTTAGATGAAGAAACAGCACGCTTGGAGGCAAAGAAAGCTACTTGACAGAAAACGTTGTTGCACATAAAAGAATTGAAATTTGAAAACCAAACCATTAAGAAGACATCATATAGAAGAACTTGTCTTGTTACAATTTGCAGTTTTAAAAGTTGATTGAACCTTAGGCCTACGCGTCTACAGTCTGAGCTGAAGATTTGTGGGAATGTAACTTGAACTCGAGTTACACGTGGGAGTGCTGGCAGCAGAAGGCTGCAGCAATCTTGGGGTTTACATGTGATATCACATGATGATCATGCACTGGGACTGCACAAGTGTGTATGCCTCACTAGTGCGTGCGCTGTGCTCCAATCCATGTACCACACATGGCAGTGAGTGCAGAGATTCGTTGAGCAGAAAAAAATCAATCCTCTCAGTGTGAGACTCCTGTGATTTCCTGTGCATTATGATCGAACAGCAGTCTGATTTGATTTCTGCATTGGTTCAGCCAACTTCAAAAATAGCTAAAGCAGCCAACTTCAAAAATTGCTAAAGTTTTAGCAATTTTTGAAGTGGGCTGAACCCCATCAGTACGTTTTGCACACTTGGAGGCCAACAATGCCGATACTACATGAGGGCTGGGCAGTACGAGCAGGTGCGCCCTGTCTCCGCCTGCGCAGCTGAGTTGCTAGGTCTTGTGTGTCAAAAGCAAATTGATCCGTTCTCTTCCGCAGCTTTGAGTGGGTGAAACCGGGCGCGTTCAAGATGGAAGTCGAAAGCATGGTCATGAACCTGGCCCAATTGGGAGCCCCGAAGGTGCATCATGCATGTATGCCTTGTCAGGTACCTTTACCTTGGAGCTCTCTCTTTCTGCTTTACGGTTTGAGGGGCTGGAGCCATATTATATATATATATATAGCTGCTAGCTTTGTTTGGCTAGGTGCTGATAGCCATTGTCCTGGGAGTTATGTGGATGGACAATCTCCCGACAATTGAACCTCGCTATCACTTCTTCGACCTCTTCTGTGGTGATGCTAAAGCATCTGCTGTGTGGAAGCTTGGTTGCCCAAAGGTTACACCCCTGAAGCTGCTAAGGGAATTGCCCCAGTATGATGTGGCAGTGAACTGAGGAATGAACATGGGTATAGCACTGCCAAGTTTGACAAACTGATGGCTGATGACCGATCAATGGATTTTACAACCCCTCCAGGATTTTTGTGACTCACCTCAATTTGCCCTCAACTGTTTGGCCTTGTGTCGCAACATGCCAATTTGTTCCTTTTGTGTTGCTAGTCACTGAGGGTGGTGGTCCATACTATCCTATGCATGTTTGAGGAGGGTCTTTGTCTTGTAGGGCCAGATTGTGCCC